CACACACACACACACACACACACACACACACACACACACACACACACTGATCATTAGTATTAAAGAACTGAGATTAGGAGTTTACTCATATATGGCAGGCTTAAAAGAAAAGACAAGAAATGAAATAATAGTTTTTGTTAATCCTTTTGTAATAAAAAGTGTTTCAGCAATTGTAGTTGGCCAAACATAGAAAAGAGTAATTATCACTATACAAAAATAATCACAAAAAATGGGTACCACTTTACAATTAGACTCCCCTTATAGATGGCTAATAACTAGTTTATTAGTTCCACTATAAACACTTTATAAATCATTAATAACAGTGTATTATGCATTAATTAAAGGTGACGGAAACAAAACTGACCAGTTTCTTGCCAAATCTGTTCACCTATATATTTCATCTAGAGTTGTTATATTAAACATTTCAGACTTAATTCAATTCAATTTATTTATAAAGCACCAAGTCACAACAGAAGTCGTCTCAGGGCACTGACCAGAAACATTCACATGTAAAATAATAATTTAACACTATTTATCTGAGAAGCAGACTGCTTTGAATTTAACTCCATCACAGAACTCTCATCTTGAGCAAGCATGAAGGCGACAGTGGAAAGGAAAAACTCCCGCATGAGGAAGAAACTTCTAGCAGAACCAGACCTAAGTTACACACAATAAGCATTTGTAAACCTTTTTTTTTTTAGGATATAATGTTGTACTTTGTCACTGCATTATAAGTATCAACTAATATTATATCCCAAAAAAAATAGGTTTAAAAATGCTTATTGTGCTTACAAGGTAGTAACTTAGTGTGACATGTTTAATATAATAACTCTAGATGAAATTCAAATTCAATTAAAAAAATCAAAAATACTTAAAATATATAGGTGAACAGATTTGGTTCACTATTTGGCAAGAAACTGGTCAGTTCTGTCTCTCTGTCACAATTAATGCTAATAAACAATTATTGATGCTTTATAAAGTGTTTATAGATGAATTAATAACATATCTATAAACTATTTATTAGCCATCTATAAAGGGTGCCTTATTGTAAAGTGGTACCAAAAAATGCACACGCATACTAGTAAATACACAAATATAATTGTACAAAATATTAGGACATAAAGATTTTAAACGAATATACTGAAAATTTTCTGCACAGAAAAGGATTATAAAACAGTCAAAAATATTTATTGGGGGGAAAAAAATAAGAAAGAAATGTGTATTTCATTAAGTCAAACAGCTTTTGTGCAATTAACTTTGAAAGTATAGCAGGCCATTGTATCATATCATCAAAACAACTGTTATTATTATTATTATTATTATTAACACATTTCCTTCAGCTTTAATAGCATTCTTACTAACTACAACAGAAATTAAACATGCCCAGTTTAACATAGTTTCATCAACTGAGATAACTTAAAGAAACGTTTTAAATTGTTGTATATTTTTTAATATTTAAGACAACATACTTAAAATGTATTACAGATATTTATCATTTAATAATGTGCAATCAAAACAAGAGTTCAGTTGTTTATTTTATTGCCTGTTATTCATGACGTCGAGCATGCATTTAATTACTTATGTCCTTCTGTGTGTGTGTTCATTTGTCTGTTAGCAAAATATCTCTCAAACCACTGGACAGATTAGAGAAGGCAAATGCAGTGATGTTAAAATCACATCTATAGCTGATTAACTTTTCAAGTTAGCCCAACTCCAAATGGCTCTCACAATTAACAACACAAAACAACTACCATTCATCTAATTGTCCAGATTCTGAGCTAACATGTGCGCGTCAGTAGCTGAGAGTCATCCTCAACGTTTTCGCTGAGCTCTAATAAGATATTTTCCTAAAATTTTGGCATGCACGGCAACAAATGATATGCAATCCTTTCGTTATTGTTCCAGTTTGAAAAGATGGAGATGATCAAAGGTTAATCTGTTGTCTGGTGGGTTCAGGTACTACAGAGGAGCAGTCGGAGCGCTGTTGGTGTATGACATCAGCAAGCATCTGACCTACGAGAGCGCAGAGCGATGGCTGAAGGAGCTCTTCGACCACGCAGATCCTCACATTGTGGTGATGTTGGTGGGGAACAAGAGCGACCTGGAGAGCCTCAGGACTGTTCCCACAGAGGAGGCCCAAAACTTTGCAGGTTGATGAATAATTGTAAAATGTCCAACGCTGTTTTTGTTTGTGAACGAGCTTAATACTCAAACTCTGCCCCCATTCAGACAAGAAGGGGCTCATGTTCATGGAGACGTCAGCACTGGACTCCACCAACGTCGAAGCTGCTTTCAATGAAGTCCTCAGAGGTAAAACGTGATGACCTCATTGCTTATGGGGTGCCATTTGTAAAGTTATACAGTCAAAAATTAACATCAATATTTGGGTTTATTTAGCCTTTAATTAAAAAAGTAGGTTTTTTTTCAGTCATTATTTCACAATGTTATTAATACATTTATAAATGTCATAGTTCCAAAATAAATATTTAATTTACAAGCTAAATATGTAGTTTACAAACTAAATACTTAACTTGAAAGTTAAATATTTAGTTAGTAAACTAAATATTTGTGTAAATTAAATATTTAATTTACAAGCTAAATATTTATTTTCAAAACTAAACATTTAATTTCTAAATCAAACATTTAATTTCCAAAATAAATATTTAATTTACTGACTAACTATTTAACTCTCACCTAAATATTTAACTTGCAAGCTAAATATTTAGCAAGTTAAATATTTAGTCAGCAAATTAAAATAATTTTTGATTGTATAACTTTACAAAGGGCACCCCATAATTGCTTCGATTCACACACAACGTGAAGGGTGTGACGGTGAAATGTTTGCTCTTCTCCAGCGATCCATAAGAAGGTGGCGAGCAGAGAGGTGACCCGCGGCTCCATCAGCGCCGTGACCCTGTCCAGTCCCCTTGGATCAAAGAGTGACGCTCAGGAGGAGCGTAAAGGCTGCTGCAAGAGCTAATACCAGACTGACCGAGCCAACATCGTGCTCGACAGTTTACCATTCAGTCAGCTCGGCGAGGAGCAGTGTCCCAATACTTGTGTACAGTTTATAGGTCATTAATTGAGTGCAAATATGGAGTAAACCAGCTTTTAAACGTGTTTTTGTTTGGTGGGGCTGATGGGTATTTTATTTTAATTTAGATTTGCTATGCAGTTTTTCTTTTTGGATGTTTTTAGACGTGCTTTGTAAAGTTTTATTGCTTTTGTAAAATAATACACAGGGAATGAGTCTGAATAAATTATTTAAATTATTCCGTTCGCATGTAATTTCCATAACAAAGCAGAGAATTTAAAATGGTGCTAAAACTTCACCAAACTTGGAGCAGAACTTTTCAGTCATTTAACTTTCACTTTTGACTTTTTTATATGTTATATACACACTTGGTCAAAAAAGGTTCAGGAAAAAATCACATTGTTCATCATAATTATTAAACTTTTGTAAAAAATGTAGCTACTTCAGGTGTTGTGATTCAGGTGAACAAAGCCTTAAAGTATTTACTACTTTGTTTATTCTTGCCAAACCAGCAGGGTGTGGTTAAAATGAGATCCTATGCAGGTCATCTGCTGGCTTGGAGTTTACCATCTCGTTCTTTCTGCTCTTATGTTTTGGGCCTTTTTCCTCTGGAAGCCTGACCAACCAGTCTGTCTGTCCTTTCTTATCTGTTTTTTTTTTTTTTTTTCATCAACTGACAATAACACGACGCTCTATCTCCAACAGTGGAGTGGTGTTCTTATGCATCAGGGTGTTTTGTTCCGACAGACCACTGGTATGTAACTAATCTTCACGAGCTTATTGCTGAAGGCAGAAATGACATCCTATGCTGCTCGTGTTTTCAGAGAGACTGAGGATTTCTCTGAGTGAAACGTCTCCACCTGTTTGTCAGTATGCTGTGCAGAAAATTCCCAGCAGTGTTCAATATGCTGAGCAAATTGTACAAAGAGGGGCTCCAGATTATTTCGAAAGGGTAAGACGGTTATTTAAAATCCATTGGTCTAGTTTATTTAAGTTACTGGTTACAGTGTGCTTCACCTAAATCTAGAAAATGCACATCTTGCTGCAAATATCAAATGACCTGAGCTTTCTCAAGAAGCAGAATATGCTCTGTTCCTCAGTGGAAAAGGTCACAGAGTTAGATTTCTGGTGTAACTTGTCATTCAGGTGAACATCCTGTCAAATGTATCTCACTTAAAGAAAATGGTCCAGATGACATGATTTAACTATTTTTGTTGTAATCTACCTGGATGATTGAGCTTACAAACCTTTTTTCTGAACCACTTTGACTTTGGTTGTCCTCGGGCTGTTTCTGTGAGGAGCAAGTTGGCCATCTGGCCTAAAACATTTGATTGTTGTACATGATGATTGTTTAGGATGGATGGGTCCTGTTTGCACGTGTTTAAAACCTACTTCTGAGATTCCAACTGGAGTTTGGCTTGAAACAACAATGAAGGCTACCTATGGGACAGATCTGGTTGGCAGGCTGCAGACTGACGAAGTCCTCTGGATGGGGGATGAAATGTAAAGAAACTGGTCCAGATGACACGATTTAGCCATTTTTGTTGTTTTCTACCTGGATGATGGAGCTTACAAACCTTTATCCTGGCAAATGTTCACTTTCACCTTATTACTACACCTCCTAAAGTCCACAATCATCTTCATTTTCTTGTTGTCACTGATTATGAGGTGATTGTTTCAGCCACAAAGCCTGCTGTGTATCGCTGCAACTACAGAATCATTTGAATAGAACCATTTGTTTTAAATACAACCTGGCGAATGTGTGTTTAAATCACATCATTTAAACGCTTACATTATGCTGCAACTTTTAATAAGTAATAATACTTAATACTGTATAATTTTCTGAATATTTTACTTTAGCTACAAATATTTTACCCACAGAAATACATTGAGGGCTTTTCAGTCCTTTCAAAAACATTGTTCTCTTTAAAATCTGCTTCATCATAATTCCTATGCTATTTTTAGCGTTTAGCTTGTCTTTTGCTTATTTCAGCTTTATAGCATTCAGCTGCTTTTACCTACAACAACTCAGTTTCAGCTTCTTCAGCAACTTTCAGCAAAGTCATTCAGCACTCGGCAATAAAAATTCTACATTTTCACCAAAAAAAGACATTTCTCCAGTTTAGTGATGCGTTCATTTCCAGGCCTGATGACGTGGGGTGGATTTAGGCTTCTTTATGTTTTGTTTTCTGGTTGACTGCATAAAGAATACATTATGTGTTTGATGGCTGTGTTTTAGCAAAAATCCCTGCTCTGAAATAATTTATTTTAAGGTGTCACAAGTTCAAGAAAAGAACTGCTGATCAAACCTGAGTTGAAGGTGTAGTTTCACCTCTCAGCCTGAAGGTGGCAGCACTGACGTGCTTAATATATTTTGAAGGTTGTGCAACAGAGAAATGCATTTGTTTCAAATCCAATTGACTTATTTACTCCTGTGCTCTTCTTTTTAACATTAAATTCCTTACAGTTCATCTTGTGAATTATCAACACGATATATTAGGCTCGTGTATGATGTAAGAACCTTTTCTTGGAGCAACACCTAAAAATTGTACATATTTAAAGACTGGATGCTTTGATGTCAGTGTGCGTGTGTTTTATATATTTAGAAGATCTGCGTACTGTAGATGTGGCTGGACAGGCTCATAAATCTACAGCAAGGCTGCTAAATGACATTCTGCACAGATAGTAGTGTGTCTCTGGCTAACAGATGTGCACGAGGAGCCTTTACTGTGGTATGAGTTTGTCTGCATGTGTGTGAGTGCAGCCTCCCCACAAGCAACTTTCTTTTGATTTTGCCAGAGTAAAACGACGTTAAATGTGAAAAATTATTGTTTTTTTTTATTATATATATATAAAAAATGAAATAAAGGTTTTGAAGCAGGCAGTAAAAGTTGAATTAAATCCTGCAAATGAAGATTTTTATTTTATTGTATTAGGCTTTGAAAAGACATCTGGAGTAATAATCCGAGGCGGCTGAGCTGTTTGAAAACCTGGTCATGAAATCTGTAAATCTCCCTTCACCTTTGCAAGCCTTGAGGTAAAAAAAATAATTAAAAAAGGAAAATTAGAAAATTAAAAGCTCCATACTTTTGTCACCACTTCCCTGGTTCTTATGCTTCCTAATGTGTTGGTGAGAAAACCCACTCTGTGGTTGGAAAGAATTCAATTTAGCTCAAGCTTGTGATGACTGGTCCCTGCATGCTACAAGACATGTGTAGCTTGTAAAAAGTGCGTCTTAAAGCATGACTCAGATGCTGAAGTGCAGCCACCTTCGACCCAGACTTGGATCTGTTTACCCACTGCCTGAGATTTCTTTTGTCTTCAGCGTTGTGTTTCTGTGGAGAGTCTTATCTGGCAGGAAATTACAGCTGCAGGGCCACATCTGCATGGGTTCAATGGGGGTTTCTCTTATGTGGCTTTTTGTGACTCCATGGAGAAGGGACATTAAAAAGAAAATGCTTTCACTTCTCTTCCCTTCTTCTCTTTGTGTTGGAAGGTCCATCTAAATCAGCTTTATGAAACTCATTTGATTTTGTTTGTTCTTATTCATTCAGCACAAAAATCCACTGTTTTATCATTTAACATTATTTAGCTCCTCAAGAACATTTTTTTCCTGACTGTTTTCATGTATTTTATGTAATTTTTTTTTCTTGTTAATAAAAATACCAAACTTGGAGATGTTCGAGCTCGGGCTTCAGAGCATGAATCAAAGGATTTGAGTTTTAAATCCCAGGCGCTACAGAATCATTTAGCATGACTGAACGCTGAAATGCTCAGAATAACTCCTTTAATGGTGGTTTTACTTCATGTGAACACATTTATCAGCAATATATACACAGTGAATGCAATCCAGAGCAAACTTTTTTTTTTTTGGAGATGTTGTGGATTAACAGATTGATGTTGGATATTTATATATATATATATAAAAAAAATAACAGAAATTAATGTAAACTGAAAGGGAAATATACAAAATAAACTATCAACGCTAGAAACTTTTAATAAAAATAAAGGATTAAATATTGTTAACATGTCACTCGTTGTGCCAGAATTTTCAACCAAGATCATCTTCTGATACAAAATGATTGAGTTTTAACCTTTGTGGTCTAATCTTAACAATAACTTGTGCAATATCAAGCAATATTATGCTGTATGTGTTCTGTTAGCACTCACAGGATGTTCATTCAACCTTTATTTATACAGTTAGTCCCATTGAGCCTCGGAGACTCATTTACAAGAGAGATCTGAATGTGTTGAGGGTGACTCAGCTCTTGTAACATCAAATTTTAGCTAAATATCTGTAAAACTCACTGAGTTGTAGTCCATTTTGTGTTTACAAAGGTTGATTAGTTGCAGTGACCATCTTGATTTATGTTGACTTCACAAGTTTCATTAGTTATGCACATCCAATTATTACTTCCTGATAGAATCCATCCACTGGTTTAGGAGATGTTTTGCTAAAAAAAACCCAGAAGCATCTGCACAGATGCACAGACAAATGCACAATTTTTCACCTTTTACTGTGGTGGGTGATAATATTTACTGAAAACAGAAACTACAAATTGTAATTTATTCTTTTCCCAATAGGTGTATAATTTAAAAACTATTTGTAGGGAAACATTTCATACCAAATTTGTGAAGCAACTCAAAAGTCAAAATATCTACTAAAATCACCAAACCTGGAAATCAATGACACCAGACTTTCCCAAGAAGCATGACCATATAGTCCAGATGGAGCAGTTCTTGAGTCCAAACCAGACAACAGACCAGTTCAGAGGTGAGGCAATGAACAAACCAACCAGATACAAATTCTCAAATTCTAATATTTTGTCAAGAGTTCAGGCAGCTGTGAATTATTATAATCTGCAGTAATCACCAAACTGCCCAGACACCTGCTGTATAAGGCCTATAATATGTGTTTTGGCACCTCCAACTGATAAAAATACCAAAGAATCAAGTTAAAACTCAAACTGATGTCATGTTTTGTCCAGTTGTATGGCTTACAGTCCTCATGCAACACATAAAGTAAACTCTAAGCACGAGTGTGTGTCAGTCCTCCATCATTCTGCATCTGCATCTCAAACCATCTCTCAGGTCGGAGGCAATGTGTTTGACATAGCGGTACTACTGTCACCAATGGTGTGCCACAAGGCTCAGTTTTAGGTCCCACTCTTTTTACAATTTAAATAAATGGAATTTTGGTCAACACACATCTCTCTTTTAAACCTCATATCAAAAACTTGATAAAGAAACTGAAATTAAAACTGGGTTTCTTTCTCAGAAATAGATCTTGCTTAACTCTGAATGCCAGAAAACGCCTTGTAACCACTACCTTCCTACTTGCCATTGACTATGGTGACATTATCTACATGAATGCCTCTGCCAGCTGCTTGCAGATGCTGGATGTTGTCTACCATGACGCGCTAAGATTCATAACTGGTTGTAACTACCGTACCATCACTGCACTCTGTACTCCTTGGTCAGTTGGTCATCATTATCTACATGTAGGCTCTCACACTGGTTCATCTTCATCCATAAATCCCTCCTTGGTCTGCTACTTTCTTATATTTCCTCCCACATGTCACACTGTCAGTGCAGTTACAACATGTGTTCTCAGGACATAACTACCTGCAGCGTTCCCTCAGTGCGGACTGAACTTGGCCAAAAGACCTTTTCCTACTCTGCTTCTGCAACCTGGAACACCTTGCAACAGAAGTTGAAGTTTTCCACTTTGATTTATTTACGAGGTTTCAAACACTTGATAATGTCAATAGAAAAATCAAAGCAGATATGTTCTTGTTTTTAGTATTTCACCCTGTTTTATGGCACCCTGATACACTACTTTTATTTTAACTGCATTTTTACTGTAGTTTATGGTTGTCATTATTTACTGTTATTGTTTGTAAAGTGTATGTTCTGTCTGGAACAGGCCCTTCTTGTAAATGAGTCCCCGTGGCTCAAGGAGACTAGCCTGTATACATCAAGGTTGAATGAAAATCTGTCAGGGTAAGTCAGCAAAGGAACGCACATTTGAAATTTCCACGTCAGCTCACAACCATCCACATAAATAGAATCAAAGTCAATGCACGCTGATTACCATGGTGATGTTGTTATGGCGACCAATCAAAGAAGAGGTGAGCCGATGGTTAGCTCTAAGCCTCCCTCTAAAAAAATGCACAATCGAGAGGGAACCGAGAACAAGCTGAGAGGTGGATTTTCGCCTGTGAACAAAATGCTAAGAGTGTGTTTGTCACTCCTGCATGCATCCTTTTTCTTTTTTAAAAGCAGTTTTCGTAACACTTTGTGTCTGGCTAACCCCCCACACAACTACACACACAACTACACACACACAGGTTAATTAACTCCTTTGAAAGGCTTTGATTCAATGATGGATCGTGCTGTTCTTGGCTGTTCATAAGGCCTAGCTGGTGTCACATGACTCTTTTTGGTTTCAATCAAACAGGTTGCCAAGGATCAACATATCCAATAGACTCAGCCATGGTTCACCAAACAATATTATTTACATCTGTTGCCATGACAGCTGCTGTTACCTGTGAGCTTGTGATGTTAAACGGCTGCAGGTGTAAAGTAATGCATCAAACTATTATTTCAATAACAATTTTAGCTCTAATTTGGCATTAAGACCCCATAAAATCAGGTTTTGTCTCATTTTAAAGGAGGGACACCAGCACACTTTAATGTGTTTTATTCACACTTGTGATGTTTATTCATTGTTTTATAAGATTTTTCTGTGCTGTTTTCAGTTTTGTAGATGCACTTTATGAACTCTGCATTTTACTCATCTGAGCATAAACTTTAATGCAACTGTTTCATTTGTGTGCCTGCAAAAACCTACAGCCTCCAAATGTGTTACTCTGCCGAAAAAAACACTTTCTTTTCACTCACTGAAAAAAGTATTTTTTTTTCCTTTTTAAAGGACAGAGAAAGATAATAATACCACCCAGCCTCCACACAGAGCTGCACTCTTTGTCAGAGAAACACAAAACACTTGGCAAAGCATTAAGAGACACAAATGATTAAAAGTGAGTTTATGTGTAAATATTTCCATGTCTATACGTTTCTCCCCTTCAACCTTTGTTCCATGTTTTTTATGAGAGGGGTGCAGAACAGTCAAAATGCCCCAGGCTATATATGTGTTTTCATGCTTGCATAAGATTGCTTCAATTGTGCATTTATACATTTTTTATTCATGGATTTGGTGAAAGCAACAACTTTGACACTAAGTTTTACTAAAGAGACAGTAATAATCATGTTATATGCATCGTATCATTTATCCATCCTTTGTCTTTTTTCTTATTTTCTGGGTCATGTGGGTCACTGGTGCTCATGTCCAGCAATCACTGTGCGAGAGGTGGGGGACACCCTGGACAGGTCTCCAGTCCATCACAGGGACACATAGAGACAAACGAGACAAACAACCATTCACTCTCTCACTCACATGAGACAATTTAGAGTTACCAGCCTAACATGCATGTTTTTGGTCTGTGGGAGGAAACTGGAGTACCCGGAGAAAACCCACACATGCAAACGCCACCCAGAAAGGCCCCCTGACCGGGATTTGATCCGGCAACCTTCTTGCTGAGAGGCAGCAACTCTACCAACTGAGCCACCATACTGTCCATATCATCTATATTATATGTAATTTAATATATTTTATATAATACCATATTGTATAATGATACATATCATGAATTGTAGCATATTGTCTTGAATTACCGTATTTTCTGGCGTATAAGTCACTACAGAGTATAAGTTGCATCAGTCACAAAAAGCATCAAGAAGAGGAAAAAAAAATCATATATAAGTCGCATTTACCAAAATTTAAAGTGTCACACAAAAATTGCATTATGAACATGGAAAAAAAACTTAAAGTCACTAAGTCACTTTGGCATATAAGTCACAAGACTGACAAATCTATGCAAAAAACTGACTTATATGCCAGAAAATACAGTATATTACAAACATCATATTTTAAATTATACCATCACAAATCATGCAAGTTATTTTTTCATGTCACATTATCATGATCAGCGTTTGTTATACATTGTCTTGTGCCATACATTGATTTGTACATATCCTACCATGCCATATCATATAAAATCATATCATATATATCTCATATCATAATGTGTATTAGGGGGGCCGCAGTAGATCAGTGGTCAGTGCCTCAGTCTCATAATGCTGCAGGTTCAAGTCCAGGTTGCATCAAGGAGAACATTCAGAATATATATATAAATATATATGTATATATATGAAAAAAAAAAACAGTTGCCAAATCTTTCATGAGAGGTCACACTTTGTGGTAACCCCTGCAGAAGGAAGTAGTCAAAGAACAATAACAACATAACATAGCTCATCTTGTTTCATATCATATTTCACTGCATCATATCACAATTCTAACACTATATACAGTATCATATCATGTACTTGTATTGTCTCACATATAAAGAAGTTTTGTTTATAGATGATTTTCATTTAATGTTTTGTTCCTCTGAACTGATTTTCATTTTACTATATGAACTTGTGCAACCATCAGTTGCTTACAGATGTAGTGTGCGTGTTTGTAAAATACCAGGTGTTGAACTGACAGCCTTCTTGAGATGTCCCCGGAGCTTTGGACTGTGGGAAAACACGTTCACTTCTTTTCCCCCCATACTGAGAAAAATGTGTTTGGGTCTGAGAACAAGAAAGTTACGTAAAGTCATGCTGTCAGAAGGATAAATTACATGTGGAACCTTAGAGCATGCACAAGTCAAACTTTCAGACGTTACATTTTTTAGGGATGAAAAAGTGAAGGATTTTCTGGAAGCTTATGGCCTGTGTACTGTGTAGTTTCCTCACTGTACTAAAACTACAGGATGCATCTAAAAATACCTATAGAGCCCAAGAGAAAAAAGCACGGAAGATGGGAAATCATTTACAGGAGCAACAAAAAAGAACAAATTTAAAACAGCCTCGGACAGACATGCAAACTCTGAGCAACAAAGAGTGTATAAGACATAACCACATCTTTTCTGTATTCATTTATTCCTCTGTTTAATGTAAACTTGTCTTTTGGAATGCTGGCTCTGAGGAAACTCTGCATTGACACAGTTCAAGCTCATTTTCATCTGAATTCAGAGCAGATTTGAGGGAGATGGGGGTGGTTTGTACACAAATCGTGAAGACATGATGATAATGAAGAGGAGGAGGAGGAGGAGGAGGCAGTGGAGGAGGAGGGAATCCAGATGGGAAGGAGCAGCCGGCAGCTCCGCTGCAGAGAGAGAGACAGAGACCAGAGAGAGTGGAAAGCCTCGTTTCTGCCCTGAGATGAAAAACTCTTTCATCAAACACTGATCCATTGGACTCCCTCTGCGCTGCTGCTGCCATGTACTTTGGTGAGTAAAGGAGACACTTTCATCAGGAGACAGGCAGGCTATGTTTGACTTCTGGTCAGTGGAATCACTTGTTGCTGCGTTTGAATTGGATTTGACTTTTGTAACGTCTGCAGACTACAAGCAGGTATGGTGGACTTGGGTTAAGAATCTATTTTGTTGTGAAATGACGCGTAACTTAAAGGGGAAATGCTAATTTGTGACAGGACTGTGCTCAGAAAGCAAGGACAATTGTGTTTCAAGTACTTCACATGGTAAATGGTAAATGGACTGCACTTATATAGCACCGTTCTATCTTATCAAGATACTCAAAGCACTTTACAACACAATCTGTGTCCTCATTTACCCATTCATACAGCACCCTACTAGATCTATACAAAGATTAGTCTGTACTTTATCACATTCATACACTGATGGGACACACATCGGAGACAATGAGGGGTTCAGGGAGGCTTCAGCATGTGACTGCTGGTGGAGTCGAACCCCCAGCTCTTGCACTGGAGGGTGCCTGCTCTAACCACTCAACCACAGCTGCCCCACAATCTATATAAAGAATGTTTTACATGCAAGTTCTTGAAATCTAAACAATAATACCTCATTCTCAAATATAAAAGTGTATTTTACAGTTTCTCATCTCATGCACGTGTTTAGTGCAGCAAAAAAAAAAAGTATCCTTTTGAAGCAAACAGGTGAAACAAGCCTCGTACAGACACACACACACACAGAAACACACACCCCTGAGTGTAGCCAAAGGCAATCAGTGTAATGGCAGAGCGGATGGGTGTTCTGGTTGATTTTGATTGTGGGTGATTAAACATGCACGCTGGTCCACCATCAAACTGTAATCAAGCTCAGGGAGAACGTGTAAACTGGAGGCTCCACAATCAGCAGCACAAACAGGACGCCTATCATCAAAGGCTGGATCTGTGCTCATGTGCCTCATGCTCATTTTGATCAAATATTGTGTGGAGTTATGGAATTTTGGAAATAACTTTTAAAATGGTTCATTTCTGTAAGCTATTATTCTGAAAAGCCCCTGCACAGATTAAAGTGGGAAAAGTAAAATACTTTGAAGTCCTGGAGTTTAGTTAAAAAAAAGGGCTAAAATGCAAAAATATAAATATAAAAACACATTTTTAAACAATTAAGTTGCAGTAAATCACATGTAGTTGTGCTTAATTGTGTCAAAAACTGAATTGTGTTTCATTTAAAGAGTCTTTTTCTTTAATATCATAAGCAAAGAAATGATTCATTGTCTGTAAAAGTAAGTTTGATTTCACAGCATGCAAGCTTTTAAAATAATAGTTTAATCATAAAAATTTTAGTGTGTTTACATATTTAGAGTTTGTTAATTGATATGCATGTGATGAACCCTACTCCATCCAGTACTGTGCAAAAGTTTTAAACCACTGTTAGTTTCTTTCGTTTTTCCTTTTAAGCAGCCAAACTTTCTTATAAACCTTCAAAGTGATCTTGATCAACAGTTATTCAAGCTTTAGGGACGTCTTTTACAGGTTTTCTATAGTCTTTGGCTGCTTTAATACTGATTCAGGGGTCAGGACTATCACCTGGCCACATGTTGTTCACTGTGTGCTTGAAAAAAATAAACATGTTGAAGACGTTCCAGTACTAAAAAAGTACTGCAGTAAAATCAACAGTATCTGAAAGCTGTACCTTTAAAAAAAAAATAGGAAGAAAAATATGCAAAGACTTGAAACAGGATCTGAAAGGTGCATCATACATCCTCCATCTGCTGTATGTCAAGCTGACAGATCTTTAGGAGTTACCTTGTTGGCACTTAAACACTACGAGTCAAACAGCGTTATATTTTTGATTATATATATATATATATATATGTAAATACAGATATATATATATATATATATATATATATATATATATAT